CAGGATATCAATGGATCCATTTACTACAGGATATCAATGGATCCATTTACTACAGGATATCAATGGATCCATTTACTACAGGATATCAATGGATCCATTTACTACAGGATATCAATGGATCCATTTACTACAGGATATCAATGGATCCATTTACTACAGGATATCAATGGATCCATTTACTACAGGATATCAATGGATCCATTTACTACAGGATATCAATGGATCCATTTACTACAGGATATCAATGGATCCATTTACTACAGGATATCAATGGTTCCATATACTACAGGATATCAATGGATCCATTTACTACAGGATATCAATAGATCCATTTACTACAGGATATCAATGGTTCCATATACTACAGGATATCAATGGATCCATTTACTACAGGATATCAATAGATCCATTTACTACAGGATATCAATAGATCCATTTACTACAGGATATCAATGGTTCCATATACTACAGGATATCAATGGTTCCATATACTACAGGGTCTATATACTACAGGATAGTAATGGGTCCATATACTACAGGATAGTAATGGTTCCATATACTACAGGATAGTAATGGTTCCATATACTACAGGATAGTAATGGTTCCATATACTACAGGATAGTAATGGTTCCATATACTACAGGATAGTAATGGTTCCATATACTACAGGATAGTAATGGTTCCATATACTACAGGATAGTAATGGTTCCATATACTACAGGATAGTAATGGTTCCATATACTACAGGATAGTAATGGTTCCATATACTACAGGATAGTAATGGTTCCATATACTACAGGATAGTAATGGTTCCATTTACTACAGGATAGTAATGGTTCCATATACTACAGGGTCTATATACTACAGGATAGTAATGGTTCCATATACTACAGGATAGTAATGGTTCCATATACTACAGGATAGCAATGGTTCCATATACTACAGGATATCAATGTTTTCATATACTACAGGATAGCAATGGTTCCATATACTACAGAATAGCAATGGTTCCATATATCTCTTTTACGGAAAGTGCCGACGGTTCCCGAATGTTAGTAATCATTGTGCTTCGAAAAATACATTGAATGATAACAACTTCAAATTTATTATATATATTTATAATGAAATAGTCTAAATTGATATCAGAAATAGAATTCATTATTCTATCATAAAATGTATTCTATCATATTAAAATAAGATCTTTTGATATCAAAAAATATTTTGTGATATAGTCGTGAGATAGATATCGGTTAGTTTATCCACGGACTATAATTATATATCTAGTTTTTATAATTATCAAGTGGCACGTCATTATCTTGTTGTTTACCAAGATTGCGGAAACACCAGGATTAGAGATATTTTAACGAAAAAAGTGTAGTTTAAAAAATATTACATTATTAACAAGCATCACATAACATGGCTAGATACCAGGGACTTCCGACCGTCACTTCCCGGTACCCGGACTCTAGTATAAGGAAGTAACTTTCGTGCTTGTGTGGAAAAGTTCGTGAACAGGATATGTTTTGGAGTGGTGCAAATGTCAGCATTTTACAATTGTCTCCGATACGCTTCGCCGAGTTATAGTTCAGATTAACTATTACTGTATCTGTTAATGACCTAATCTTCCTGACGACACCGTCGGAACGTTCCTCCCGTCCGGGGAACTACACTAGAACTGCACAGCGGGATTAGTTACCTAAAGCTCTTCTAATGGCGGACAAAATGTCAATGACAGCCGAGACTATATAAAAATATTGTGACAAATGAATATATTTATATGCACGTGGGTGGGTCCACTTACCCGTCACCTGGCAACCGGAATGCATGTCAAGATCAAAGCAGAACATTTATAGATTCTATCGATTTGAACGATATAAACAGATTTTTCGTACATACGGCACTACAGTCGGGCGGTTACCTTATCCCCACTGGAGTACCCACTTGAATACTGAGTAAATATTTTGAACTGTCGACTCAGGTAGACTTAGGTTAATCACAGTAATGTCAACACCGCCACTATAGGGTTGTGGCTTGTTTGGGATGGGGTAGGGGTCGATTGATAATTATTTAACGTCTGTTGCGGAAAAAAATGCATTGTTGTCAACCGTTCGATATATTTGATCACAGAGAGACATACATAAGTTAATGATGGTGTATATTTTGGAAGGAAACGGAGATAATGATATCCCGTTATGTACATATACTGTCCATGTATTTAGAAAGCTGTCGGCAGAAATATTCATCTAACCAACGATGACATCATTTTTGTGAGGTAGGGTCAATTTTTTTAAGACTTTTAAGACTCGGCTTTCCCCCCTTTTTCGATATTCTTGTTATCAACATGATGGAATGACATGTTTACCAAGGGTTAGTTTTAACCACTAAACCTCCAATACTATTATCAAGTTTGGTCCATAATCCAGTAACTAATTTGCAGGCCCCTGTGGGTTTTCCTGTAGTCATTCCTGTAATAATTCGCAGGTCCCTGTGGTTTTTCCTGTAGACATTTTCCTGTAATAATTCTCAGGCCCCTGTGGATTATCCTATCTTCATACTAACCTCATCATAATTGTGTTTCCCTATATTTTCCATATATGTCAAAATCAAATCATGTGACACGAATTTGTTTTTTTCTCTCAAAAAACTCGAAGATTTCAGACCTAACGTTCAATAAAAGCAGAATTATCAAATTTTATACTTGCCAACTTTTAATTTCCAAGGAGTAGATTACGCGTGCTCAGAATTATACACCTAGGGGAAATTTACTTCTTAATGGCATGTTTTGATATGTACTTTCAAAATCATCAGGTCTTAGAAAATAGGAATAGTTTAGCAAATTCAATCCAATTTTAGGGTCCAAAATCGGGAGTCTCCCTCCGATATAGAGAGAGTTGGCAAGAATTGTTTGTTCGTATATAAGATTCAAATTATGAGGGTATGAATGTTGACCATAGTCTCGCTAGGGAACTAACTAACGGTTTTGTTACTAATATATTAAACTCGCTCAATTACCCTAGTGTATCTTTATACGTCGGCATACATTGTAAGGCTTGGAAAACTTAGGAAAACCATACCATATTAAAATCAAAACATACCCAATGTATGACTTAGATGTAAATATACACCACCAGGCTGTACTATAAATAACCCATTTATAATAGATTTGTTGTTCACGCATTCTTCATATAAATTGCTTGGCACTCTTGTCAAACAACTGGCACCGTCTAAATACAAGTTCGTGCAATAATTTGGCCAAGTTGCAATTCACCGAGTTGGTGTGGTTTTATTTTCACTATCCTCTGGTGTTCGATTGACATTAATAAAGAACTTTAACCAGCATTGTACATACAGCTCTGATTTACATCACACGGCACATTTCAACACTATACGTGTACATTACGAAAATCAAAATCAACATTATAGTCACAGGGACCTAAGAATCGTACAATATTATGTTTCGATCTCTCCTGGTGTGTAAGGTATATTATTAGACATAATAGGAGTTAAGATCAACACATAGCAGACAAAATGTCTTTACCGAGTGTAAGCCCCTCAAACGTCCAATATCAAGAGGTCGAAACTTTCTACAACATTGATCCTAAGGCCCCTGTGATTATTATGGCCATGATGACGCTTGTATTGGCTTTAGATTCTTTAACAGCTACTATTATAATACCTTAAATAGGTAAAAATTGCACCGAAAGGCAATTTGGCAGCTTTTCCCTGTTAAAACTTTTCCTTGTTAAAATGAAACCCTATCTATGCAGTAAAGTTCTCATTTAGCGAGCCATAAGGTTTCCTAAACTCATCTAGCATATTAGGCACCTAAACTCATCTAACATATTAGGCAATACAACATGGAAACCAATACAAGGATATTGATTCTAATTTGTTGCTTTGACATCGTTATCCTGGACTAAACCGTGACGTTTTCCCCAACAATCATCTTGTATGACGTCACAACTTCTCCTAATTAACGATAACCGAAAATATTAAAACTACACTCGTAAAAATATGCCCAAATTATGCATCAAAAATGCATTTTGAACTTCACGCTGATCAATTTGGAAGCCAGTAGTAACACTTATTAAAACGAGGAAACACATTTTTAACCTCAAATAGTGTGTAACGTTATCCGTTTCTCTGTCGAGGACTTGCTGGAGCTAAGAGTACAAGAAATGCGGCATTGATCGAGTAAATATAGTTCTAGCCTACACAGCGAGATACAATGATCCACCCTTTTTTTATTTACATTCCTTTGATATAACGCCCCATGTATTACTGCAGACTCAGAAAAGTACCAACACAATGAGTTAAAAATACATCTGTCCTAGTTACATAGAGAAACTCGGTTAATGTTTCCTGACATAAGGTCAAGGTCGAGTAACCTCGTATAAACAGGCTCTGATAAACACGAGCCTCGCGGCCGCGGCACTTAAATTACCACCCTATAACTTTCAATTGATCTAATGTGGTATGCTGTCATTTTGCCAAAATTTTAACAAATATTGAATTTGAATAGAATTCTCATGATAAATAGAAATACTTGTGTATTATGGCTTGCTCTGGCGGACTAAAATATGACTGTTGAACAACAGTGTTTAAATCGGGAATACATGGTTGATCCGCACAGTGCCGAGTAAACAACACACTCCGGGCCTTACAAGTTTAACCAATGTAGTAGTACTTAACGAATTTTACATGTTCTTTTAAATACGTTTTTCTCGCAGTGTATTTTCCAAAATGATATGAATAAAATCGTACAGTTACATGATGCATCCATCAGAATACCGACTAAATCCCATGTTTCCATTCAAAATTAACGTATGCAATACATTCGAAAAAGGTTGACCGTCGTAGGCCACTCCCATAAATGCGAAATATATTCGGTCGTATGAAATAAATACATCCGAATATATGCGATTTGCTTCCTCCTGAAACTCCACACATGGTAAAACGATTTGCATACATGCATACGAAAATCATCTCCCAAAAACCAATTTCATTGTAAATACTTTTTATTTCAAAAAATAAACAGACGGGTAATGCCATTTTTCCTCAGTTTTTTTCAGTAGTTTTGTAACCGTTACGTCTTTCAGACATCGGCAAACAAGCGACCTAACAATTGACGACATATGAGTATATTATATATACAGCAAGTTATTATACTTCAAACAAACGCAATGCGTTGCCTTATTTGCCCTATAATCAAATACTGAATTTTTCTTCAAAGTGTCTAGCATGATTTACTGTAAGTGGACGACTAGGTAAACGCTAACTACAAAACAATCTTGTTTATTTCTACGATAGAACAAATATTTAGCAAATAATGAACGACATTTTTTTAACATTTTGTTTGCGTTTTTCGAAGCTTTAGACCGTGAATCATCTCTACCGATATGAATGTAAGCTATTAGTTACAAGAACGATCCTAGAACAAACAGCAAAACGATACGAGCCGCCAGACAACATATGCTATCTTTTTTTCCCTATGCACTAACTTCAATAGTCCGTCTTGGGGCTCCTGGGAGGGGAGAAGTGGTTATACGATTCCGATCCCTACAACTACAGAAATCATATTAAAAAAATTTACTTTATCACCAATTTACCAGTTTGATGTCATTGATGAAAATATCTGCATTTAATCGAAAGTATTGTACGTATTTAGCTTGTTACTAATCCGTAACTCTAGATCTCCAAAACAAAATGCTTTTAAAACAGCCTATTGGACCCTCGACAGCCTATACAGCCGACACTTAACACGTGTATACAAACTTGTGCACCAAATACGCCGTATTGTTAAAATAACATCCATATGAGTAGTGTCATCCAGGCACTTGGAAAGTGATGTTTACAAAGTTACATACAATTGCACCAACACGAATAACATATCCCACGCCAAAATTCCATCCATCCACGCGATGAAAATAGAAAATAAAGTTAATGATAAACGTAAAAAGATATTTAACGTATTTTGCATTTTAACACCAACTTTCAAACAAAATATTAAAATCCAAAATAACACCTCGGAAACAAAGAATGACTAAAATCCTCAAACCAATATTTTTTGGTGATGATTTTCAAACGATTAAGTCCGAAATGATGTGTCCAAAAATATCCCATCATAGCTGGTACACTAAATTTGCACCGCTTTTTATGTACGTTAAATCATGGTAAGTACACCGGTAGCACACACGCAAATGACGTCACGATGAAAATATACTGTGATGGTGAGGTTGTTGGTTGGAGTAATACAACAGTTTATATATTGCAAGAAAAGGTGAAACATACAAAAAGTTGCCATGTAAAAAGATGTGCAGTTCTCACAATGGTAGTAGTCTATTTGTGACTAAAGTTTACTAAGCATTAATTCCATATAGGTTGTTGTTGGACCGCATGGCGTGGCTTCACGGCGAAGGTCTCCTGCATGGGACGTATGAAATGGTAGTCGTGTGCTTTACAGTATGGACACGCTATCATTCGGCTGTACTCACTGTAGAACGCCAGGCCGTTATTTATGTCGACGACGGCGCGTCGGCAATGTTTGCACGTAAGTCGCTTCTGACAGCAAGGCATGGCGGCGAATATGTCGTAGGAATACATAGAGCCGAGCAGCAGCGTGCTTCCATCCCATTTTCTTTTGCACGCCGTGCAATGGACATTGCTTGCACCTTCGAGACAGTTAACGCATACGGCGTTGATAAACTGCAGTCGACCATCCGATATGACCTGGACGACGCCGTCGCCGTAGGCTTGGGGAGACAGGAAGAATGTACCGTCGATCATTGGATAACGATCAAACACTGGAAGGGTACACATGCACAGCACACAGTTCAGAGACGAAACCTTGTATGTGCTCAGATGGTTCAGCACAAAACTCCGCGTTTCGTCATTTCCAGGAGGCCCATCATCCTCCATTTTAATGTGGTACGGGTTCTGCTTGTGACGTGGAAGCATGTTGAACGCAGCCAGATCGTGACGACGACGGAAAATGTTGGAGAACGACGTCTGGGTGGAGTCGGTCGAGCACGTGTCGAACTTAGGTTTTGGGGCCCGTATCAGCACGTTACCGTTTCGAGGGGGCGATGGTGTCGGCGAGTTCGACCCCGTGGAGATGACGGAAGAACTACCAGTGCTCCCGAGACTGTCGGTCCTAGGACGGACGATGGCAGTGGTGTTGATGGGTCTACTGATGCTGTTAGCACTACCAGTGTTGTTGTTTTCACTTGTCTTTCCGTTTAGGATCGAGTTCTTATTGGGCGGATTCAATATTCCAGTGACGTTACGGTTGGCGTTATCAAGCTTGACGTCATCAGAGCTGCTAGTAGTTCGGTTTCGTATAGTATAGGCGTTGACAGTATTGCCTACTATACTTTGTCCATGGTTGTTACGGTTCCCGTTTTGACCAGCAACGTTTTGGTTTCCATGCTCGACTTGGTTTTGATTAACGTTATGGTTGACGTTATGTGACCCACTCTTTCCGCTGGTCACCACGGGCATTGGACGGTCATTTTTCTTTGTCTTTTTCTTGTGTTTTCGGGCGTTGTCATTCTTAGGGGGTGATATATAGTCCAAGTCTTTCCTCAGATGCCCACGCCCGCAACGACAGTCACATGCTTTGAATGCAAGATCATAGCCCTTTTTGGTCCACAAATTCTGCAATCGTTGCTTTTCGCTCCAGCTACGTGCTCTGCCACACGACTTCAGGTAGGCCAACACACCGTCTTCCCAATCATCAAAACATACTTTATGCATCCACGTACCTTCAGAACAAGCTTCATTGTTACACACCACCCTGACAGCGTCTCCAGCGTCCGAGGGGTCTATACTTTCCTCCGAACATAGACATCCAGAAGGCATACAACAGGCTACAACAGTATGCCGGTTATTCCTAACGTCGCGGTTAGCCGGCTGGTTGTCGTTATGGGGGCCTTCTACTAGACCTACCACGCTGGTTTCGTTATTGTTTGTCTCGTCTTTCACACTTGTCCGCTGACTCTTGTGATGTCTGTGGTGAGGCATGTTTGAAACAAACGTCCAATATTTCAGAAAATATCCACTGTTTTAAGCGTCAAAGTCTGTTCATTGCACAATCTCTGTTCAACAACACACGCGTCTTTACATCTGCCGGTAAATTTTTTCACTGAGTTCGTCGGCTTGTTTTGTTGATACAGAAAGCCGGCCTCTATCGAGCGATTTGATTGGTTGGTAATTCGGTCAGCCTATGAGCCATTGGATAGTAATGACAACATTGTGACCTTTGACCTCCACGATCGGTGATTGATATGTAGATTTGTAGCGTGTTTACAGTTTACGGAAATCAGGTCGAGGCCATTCATAGCGCTTAGGTGTATTTATATTTTACAAAACCGCATGTGTAGCAATATACTTGTTGACGAACGGGTAACGTATTTCTCGACAAGCTAACAGACTTGTCTCCTGGAGGACAGATATATCGTTATAGGACGTAAAACCTGATAATAATAATAATGAGCAGATTTATTCTTGAACTGAATGGGTTTGCTAAGGAGGGTACTGACTGAAGAAGGGTGAGATAGTCTGTTACAGCCTCATTTCTTTTAAATGAAATGGGTATTGACTTCGAGCATAGACATATTGTACAATTATAATACTGATTTCAACAATAAGTGAAAATCTTTGGAAATGATTTTTCAATCAATTTACTTGTATTGCTCAATTACATATTTAGGGAGAAAAACCCCAATAACAATGATGACCAGAGAATAATTTAAATTAAAGTGTAATTAAAATTCAGAACAGTTTGAGTACAGAAATAGGGTATATGTAAACAAGCTTAGAGCCGAACCATCATTATGTACAGAGAAGTTTTATTTTGAAATTTGAAGCAGGTTAAGTTGTTGTCAACAAACTTTGAATATTTACCTACATATTTTATTTTCAAACAGTGATGAGATGTACATTGAGTCAGTGGGCAGGGAATCAATGCTTGTCAGAAACGGGGCAATACAAAAACAAAGGCCGTCACTCTGAAGACGTATGATAAGAGATGGTTCCTCCCACTCCCGCGCGCTAAGAGCGATACATATCTTTTGCATAAATCGTTTCATAATTGTTGTAGAATTAATCAGATTTATATTTCATTCTTATTCATATTATAAGAAATGAAACTAACACGATATCGAAAACACTTAGAAGCTGTGTGAAACTGTTGAACACGTGTAAAAAAAATAAACGTAAGCTAGGATTGTCAAAAAAGAAAACAATAGCCCCATTGTCAGTCTAATATTTATCTTTAATAAACAGCTTACCACTCTTCTAGGGATGCAAACATTTTAAGCGGACTTCCAAAGCGAGATTTACCAACAAAAGAAATATGATCGGACAGTAATACGTGTTATTACTGATCTAATTTCTTCTCTTTTTTTTCGCAGTAAGAAGCTGTTGTTGGGAATCAAATTAGTTTTGATTTAAAAGAATAACAAAGAAAATATTGATATGAGTGTAGAGGGAATCTAAAGCCACACTAATCCGCTGGAATGAGTTTTGTGAGCAAATATAGCATAATAAGCTTTATTAAATCTGTCATGTGTTACAAGTTTGAAGGGATATTTATTGTAAATTGTATTCTATTTCTCTCGCTTTTCACAAGAACATACAGAAACAGGATACGGAAACAAGCTTAAAGCTGATGTTAATCCACTTTCTTCAAATAGAAATTACATTTTAAAGATGGACTGCATGTTGTAATTACGTTTTAGATCTAATTTTCTAGTAATAATTAATGACGGTGAGAGAGGGATATTTCACACAAGGTCTCCTTATTTTGTTCATTAACCTAATAGCGACGTGACGATTTTAAAATAACGTCACAATATTCATCACCATACTAGAACCATGAGATATAACCCCGAATATAGCGTAACGAGAACCGCACCGAAAACAATAGAAATGTCCTCGTGTATGTTTACAAAAAAAGGTCTTCAGACGATTAATTTGAATTGATTTAGTATATGTTCTATTTAAGTTAGGTGCCAACTGAGATTTAAAAAACAGATTTCGTTAAGTTTACAACCAAGCTTACCGTGCTGTTTTCAAACAGCTTCGAATGGATGAGGTAAACGGATGAATGTCATCTCTCTATGCCCTTTAAGAAGGTGACTTTGAATTTAAGTAAAACTAAAATGTGGAAATGAATCCACTCGACATCACATAGAACTTACCTATACAACAAATCACACCCGTCAGTTTTAATATTTCCTCCACAATTTAATGTCTAGCATAGCCATCGCCATTCTTGAAAATTAAGATAAAAAGAAAAGATCTTATATAAGGTTTCTGGTCGACAAAAAAGGGAATATTGAATAGTTCAGTATCGGTTAATTGTATAGTGACGTTCATGATATATATGTATTCTAACAATCTTTATATGTATGTTTAAATATTTTTCGACAACTCTTTTCTCTCTCTCTTTCTCTCTCTCTCTCTCTCTCTCTCTCTCTCTCTNATATGCACAGCTGCTCTGCATTAAATACAGCACAGGAATGTATTTATGTTACGCCTTTTACATCGCCCCTTGTTTTCTTTTACAGTGTGACTGCCATTCCTGGTTTGTGAAATATTGTCCCCCACAAAACAAGGGTGGAATTGATCATGTTTACAACACAGTGCGTACTCTGTACAATCTCTTTATCGACCAGGTGTCTGTTCGTTTTGTACAGATGTTTTTAATTATGATTGTTGAATGAGACTACATAACTAACCATACCTTAATTCTTATCAAATTAGTGACTTTTCTAAAATTATGAAGATCAAATGAAAAGACGACCATTTTATTTGACTGTCATTTTACCTAGGATCTGGGACCAAATGAAAGCAATATTGGCGACGATTTTGTCAGGATTCAGCCACTTAATATTCGAGACCAAATCATGGTCTGTTAAAGTGTTGATGCATTGGAAAAACCAAAGCCCGGTCAATAAACACGACGATAACTTCGGACACATGACCACTGGTCAGTGTGGCTGTATCAAATACGATGATAACAACGCTAGCCAGCTGTAAACAAATTGACCATTAACTTTTTGGGTCAGAGCGTCCCGCCCCTGAAGCACAAGCTGAGGGATACGAACAATGTCAAACTAGCTATTAGCAGAGGCACATGTGACCTTTTAATTAAAATAACTACCAGAGTCTTAAGACGCAGACAATATTGCCCAGCTGACCATATTTTATCTAAATACATATACTTTACATATTAATTCATAGTTAATGCTACATAACATTTTGTACATTGTACATCAATTTGTGTAAGAGTTATGTCCCGTGATAGTTCTTAATTAAATGCTTTTAAATATGTGACCAAATGCTTTTATCCAAATTTCCAGGTTTTCTTGACTTTGGAAACTATTTTGGACAGGAGAGGCAGGTCACAGCAACGTAGAATGTATATGTATAAGTGAAATTGACCAAGTGACCTTGAGGAACACCATACTAATCAGTGCCCCAAAATGACGTAATATCTAGTGGATAGTGTCATCATACTGCCTACTTACTCTACGACCTTTCGTCACTTAAACCGTAACACGTTGACATGTTAATTAAAATTTTATCGTTTATTGTAGGATCAGTCTAACAGAGTCGTTATGTCATGTTAAACCTACTGACGTCAATTGTTGTTTTGGAAACGGAATGCGGATTACATGATTCTGTGATGCTAATTGTATATAATCTACTTTAGGTCGAACCTCTCTGAGAGAATCACCTATTTATGGTATACAAAATCTAAAGAGCTTAAAATGCACTCATGCCTGTCATAATCATGATCTTCTTAAATATTGTACAATATATAAGATCGTATATAATATAGAATCTATATCATAAAGAAAATTATACAAGGTATCCATATCCTCATGCCAAGCAGTATTATTTTGTTTATAGGGTGGGCTCTCGATTGTTTCCGTGTTGTGATCAAACCAGTTCTGATAGTATAATATGTTCGTATCTTCATGCTGAGCAATTGTATATGTATATATACATATTTGTATGTTATGACCCACCGTCAAAGCTCCAAGGAGTTTGACAGGACCCCGGCGGCACTCCTGGTACACCAATGTCAAATCTGGTAGCATATCTGTATTCATATGAGTATGGGATAGGGATCTCAACAGTTTCACAAATATGACACAAGGACTAAGTCTGATGAGGTGGAGCCGGATCATTGGACCATTTATGTTAAAATAAGTGTTTCCGTCTCTTCATAAAAAGCAATATTGTATATATGTGCTTATAGAATGGGGATCTCAAGCGTTTGAAAGTTATTGCCCAGGAACCAACTCCCCATGGTCAATTATGAAAGTATAATCGTGTTCGTTTCTTCATATAAAGAGATTGTACATATAAGGCTATGATGTATGGGACTACGTATGCAGAGGTGGGCCTGGACCCGGGAGCCAAACCAGGTAGCACATTTTATTCCTGTCTTTATTCTTAGCAATTCTATTTATGGTTACATGATGGGAACCCGACTATTGCATTTTATGACCCATTTCTAAGTTATCTCCCTTTGGTTTCATGTCCCTTCATCACGTTACTGTCAGTTAAATAGGGCTAAGGACCATCTCATTGTTTGTTGCAGAGGAAAGGTCTATCGAAGCAATATGGTCAAATTACAGTTTTGGCCCCCACCCCCAGCCATCCGGTGACACAGTCCCTTATTTTGTACAGTGTTGAATCTCCACTATGCAACCGAGAGTGCTCTCAACCACACACGGCTGATGTCCATCTAATAGTTTAGTATAATGGATAGCTTGTATCAGTTTGTAATCATGTTTCTGATAAAAGATGTTGGATATTTTATGTAATTATTTAAGAGATATTCTGTGAGCTGTCTTATAGAGAAACATATATGATATCTTATAAAGTAATCAACATATCTCACTTATTTCATAATAAATACAGGATCGAGATTGCTCCTTGACTAATTGTTAGTTGGCCCGTTATAATTGTGGGTTAGACAAGGCCAATATGAGGCATGCTTCCCTTGTCTTCCGTAGATCTCTGTTTAGAGGAGAACAAAAGTACCACGTGTTGCATACATTTTTCGGCCATCTGGCCTTATTACGTTGGGTGTTTATAAAACACATTTTATGATGTTTGCGTGACATTCTGGCTTTGTTTAGAATTAAATA